CCTCTTCATCTATGTCGCATAATAATAAAGCCTCCTGTTTTACTCGAGAATTTTGATGCATAGCTGGACCCATGAACAACTAAGAGACGGGCTAATATCTTCGATCCAAGGACCACGACTTGTGGATCATCTTCTGTCAAGAGATGTAACAGCCACTGACAAGGTTAGAGATAGTTTTCAATCACACCGTTCTGGAGTAAATACCTTATTTGTCACAGTCCTAGCAAATTTTCGAATGTTTGACGTGGTGCCTTTCTCACACAGAAGCTCCGTGTACATTTCAAGCACTCGATTACCAAGCTGTCTCTTGGTCATTATCGGCGAGACCATTTCATTCAAATCGAATACGGTGCTGATGGTTGGTCTTCTTGGACCTTTTGATATTGTGCCAGATCGTATAGGAATCGTCAATCCAGGATTCTTTGGCGTTCTCGAAGCAGAACTTGTCGGCTTGTGATATGCATAAGTGATAAAAAGAGCAAGAGAGCGGAAGACTTCGGCTGTCATATTGCATTTCACTAAACTTGTGAGTGCTTCCATGAAAGAAGAAAACACTTCCACAGGGAACAATTCAGCCTTTAGAGCATCAAGAAATCTTTTCACGATTCCTGCAAAGAATTAGCGAGGGTAATCATGGTGACTACGTATAATAAACTTACGCATTCGAAATAGGCGTCGGGAATTGAACTCGTGATATTTACTGTTAACACCAAACGTAATGAACTGTTTATAGTATAACCGTTGAGTTATTGAAGCAGTCTTCCGCCACATGTCAAAGTCAACAAGTAGTATCCGATATGCAAGAGGGTTTATGATAAATGATTCCTCGGGTCTCTCGTGGCTATAGCCAACAAAATCTAGTACCAAGCTCAGTAGTTGAAATCCAAGTTTTTCGCGATCATCTTCGCTCATATTTGTGTTGCCAGAGCCACCCGTCCGTGTCGAAATGACAGTTCCGGCACCCATCTTGCCACGCAGAAGTGCGCCCAGTATTGCGTAGCCATTCTCTCGTTCCATGGCCTCGCTGTTACGCCAACTTGCGTTGATGCTCTCAAACAGATTTTCAACGGCTCGAACAATGCTTTCTTTTGTGTTGGCGGCTTCGACTAGCTTCAGTCCAATTGTGGTGAACCCTCCCAGCCTCCACATTGCATCATCCAAAGCTTGTGGAACAATAACGACTGGCTCCCCTGTTAGAATTGCAGTGCCGTGGGCTCTAGTCAGCGCTTCATTGATAGCGGGAGTAGATCCATTGATAGCTACAGAGGTACCGCTATTATGTGTAAATTGAAATAAGTTGTTCGAGGCTGTCCGATTTAGCCCCCTTAGAAGTTGAGATTCTGGCCCTTTGAGCCGATCTTCCTCTCCTAGAATAGCAGTGGGTAGAATACTTAGTATGATACGAGACTCCGGTACTAATACACTAGCCTTTCCACGTATAGCGTTGAGGATATCCGAATTTTCCTCCTTTCCTGGGTGCATGAGTTCCTGACGCATTCCCAAAGCTGCAGAAGCCTCGTATGTTTGAAACGATCCCATACAGTCTTGAAAATTTCCATTGTATCGTGGCCCTAAACGATAGTAAACAGCTACCAAATCATCGCTGATCACATCCTCAATAAGATGTGCTGAAGCCAAAGACCAACGAGAAAAGACAACGCCGCGCCCGAGGCGAGTAGAAAGATCCTGTGGAGTTCCAAGGAATGCCTGGACTGGGTGTGTCTTCGCACTAGTTGAGGTGAACGAGGCAAAACTATCTGTGCTAGCATTTGCAAGCGGCGGAGGAGCCGGATATTGACATTTGACTTGTTCCGCAAATTCTCCATCGACATAAAGAATTGCTTTACTTGAAGTCATCGTTCTAGGACGTCGATGCACGATTGCGATATGATACCAACGGCGCTCTTGAAAAGTTGTCGATTTGAACCTGACACTAGGTCGCGACGAGGAAATTGATGTTTGTAGAATAAAATTGTGAGTATCCTGCTCGAGGTACGCTAGTAGAAAACAGGTCTGAGTCTCATCGTAGGCTCCGAAGATAGTTGTGTGAGAATTTGGATCAAACTTATCCACAAATATCCAGGCTGTGAATGTATAGCCTCCCACTGTCGAGGGAGGTGGAAAAGACCTTGCTAGAGTGGGAAGTTCTATTGAAGCATAGCCATTTAAAGAAAGGTCAAATTGGATATATGAAGGTGTGTGAGATTTCTTCATCGTACGAAGCAAGAATTCGCTAGCAATAGGAGACTGGCTAGACACTAGATATTGGGCATCATTCAAGGAGCTAATACCTAGAGACATCAAAGAACCGCACAAGTTTTCAACGGCCTGTCTCTCGGTGGCAGCAAAGGAAGAATCATTATCGAAAGCAAGCGGAAGCAGGGTAGATAATACTCCTGTCGAATGCAAAGCCAACAAACTATGATTTGAGATTGAAGAAATTTTTGACAATGTTAGTATAACCACCAATGCAGCTGGATTTACCGGTACGTTTGGCACTCGAGGTATGGTCTTCCAGAAGTCAATAATAACTGGAACAATATCTGCATGGTGTAGCAAGGAGCTCTCGCGCAGAATGCCTTGTAAACGAGTCTCCACCAATTGGAGAATTTGTTCATCGCTCTGCAAGTTTTCTGGCCTAAATTCTGGATCTTGGGGTGCAATTGGCGTGTCTTTGACATCTTCGGATACTGCGAGATCGTTTGACTCGATTCTTGACGGATGGCATTCAGCGGCAATTTGACATAAAGTCTCCAACCTTTTGTCGTCCAAAGCGAATGCAAGAAGCCGCCCAAAGAGCTGCGCTTCAGTCCATACATCTGACTCACTACCACCGATACCAATGCTAGCTATGATTTGCTCTAATGCAGCCCACCCACCCCCCTCGACTCGACGCTTGAAATATCTCCTATTCCCATAATGATCCCGAAATGTTTGTGCCAACACCCTCAATATGTTTTCGAGAAGGTCGAAGAGTCGAACTTTATCCTGCTGATTCCGTTTGGAAGGATGATAGAATCCCGAAAACGCTCGAAGGGTGCTCAACAAAATTTGATATCCATGAAGATGTCGAAAGTCATCTTTTGATCGCGATGTTTGCGAGGATGCTATTAGAAAGACTCGAATAGCCTGAACCTGCTCAACAATTGATGGCAGATCGGGATATGCATCTTCGACGCGCTTTTGGAGGCCCGTAGACAAATCATCTAGAAGAATTTGTAGTTCTGCGGTAGCCTTAGTTGCTTCAGGTGGAGTTGAAGCCGCAGTCGACGAGCGATGTCTCCGGCCTCGTGTCGACATATTCCGCCCCGCCTATGTCCAGCTTGTGGGATCAACCTTCCTGCCTGTCCCGCATTAGTTATTGCACTCACTCCGATTTTCGAGAACTTCGTTTCGATCCTGTGTTATTCTGAAATGTTGGGCTCTAGGGTGCGATCAAGGTTGACTTTCGTCGAAGCTGGGCTTTGTTTGATACTGGTACGCGAAGTGGGGATACAGGAAACCTTGTTGACGGCCAATTTTGATACTTGGGAAGGGAATTGAGGAAATAGAGAGCGGATTCAGCGAGAGGTATTTCAAATGCCAGATTACCATGAGTTCATTGTAGATTGCTCCAAAGTGTTGCTATTCACTCAATTTCATGGTGTCAGCCTTATGTACATTATCGCCAATGACCTCGCCAGCTTAAAAGTTGTAGCCTCAAAACTAGTGCCTAAATCTGGATGGTGAGCCATATTTTTAAGAGAGAAGAAAGTCTACGAAGGAACAACTGTTAACGTCTTTTCTCAAAGATTGTAAATTTTAGAAATATCCGTTTGCATCGAAGTTAAAAAATCATGGTCGTGATACAATTTTTTGGTTTACCATTCCGGCAGCCATATAGAAACCCCCTTTCGGAGCTATGAGCTATGAGCTATCAATATCAAGGGAGAATCACGTGTAAGCTCTACGGACTTATTGAACATCAGCCCGAAGCCGGAAGCCAGAGGGAATGTGCGTTGACACATGCCCAGTGCTTCTGACTCAATCACTAGTTATAATGTTGGAATATTGATAGAAATAGTGATCGAAATCATGCAGAGACTGTCTCACTAAGGGGGGTGAATTTAGAATGATAGATAGGTGATATAGAGATATACAGCAAATACGGGTAATAGATAGATAGGAAGGAAGGAAGGAAGGAAGGATGGATGGAAGAATGGATAGATAGATAGATAGGAGGTATGCGATGACTAGATAGATGCATATCTTTGAATGGTCTCGTGCGAGGCTGACCGTTTCAATTTGATCGTGTGGGTTTCTTTGCAGTAACACTGCCATCAACAATCAATCAAATCATCAATCATATCATGAGGAAAGCCACACCGAATGGATTGACGAGTTGTGGATTGCTTTAATCTATATCATCCTGCTATCAATGATCAGTCATATGATTCATATCCCTAAGAAAGCCACACCGAATGAAACAGGAAAGTATGATAAAGGACACCGCCTTGTTGTTCGAACAGCTAGTTAGCTACTTAGTAGGCACTTGTTTCGGTATTGGTAGATATGCTGATTGACCCCGAGTTCCGCTGCTTCTCGTACCTGAATGATGCATTCATTACTCGTAAGATGTGGAGCCCCAGCCAGCTTAATAATAATAGTACGGAGTGTGCACTACTGTACTAGGCATGTACCTGGTTAGCTAGCTAGCTACGTATGGACGTATGGGACCAAGACCCAAGACCCTGAAAGCAAGCGCAAGCTGTTGGTAGCCTTCAGGTTGGATAATGAAATGATAAAGCAACTACGAACAAGGCCTTGGAAGCTCAAAAGCTGGATGACTGGAAGGTTTGATTTAAAACCCGCGGATCATTTCTTCCTATTCGATGATTCGATGATTCAAAGGAAGGGCTTACTTAGGTAGGTATGGAGTACATGATTGCCGCGGTATAAATCACATCAAGGGATCCTTCATTTCTATGGATAGATTAAAATATGCACCTTTGGAATTAACCGCCATCTCGTTACATTTCCCATATAACTGTATACCATTTCGAGTTTCACTGCATCCTCAACATCACAATCAATCATAGATAGATAAACACGACTTATCGATCACGATACCTCATACCCATACCGGTATCCAAAACTCCCAGTTCTAAGAGGTCCAAAAGTACGGGGGAGAACCACCCGATAGAGAGACTAGAACTAGAAAAGTAAGACAAAACAGGATCTAGGATCCATTGATCTATCCATCCCTTTGCATTATTTACGCGGTAGAGTAGTCCGTACGGAGTACATGATTTACACTTTATTTGCTTTATTTGCCTCACACCCTCATCATTTACTAGAGCTACGATAGCTTTCTTACCCAAACACCCATACCAAAACAGCCACACCTTTTACCCTTAGGACGGACCCTTTCCTTTCCCTTTCTTCACTCTCTTCTCTTATCGCTTTGCCAACTTTGTCTGCGTGATCCATTCGTCAGAATCGTCATTGATAAACTAAGACGCTAATGCTCAAAGTAGCTTAGTCCAAAACCACCACCCCCGTAGTTGCCTAGTGCACCTTTGTCGGTTCCCCGACCTTCGCAAGTACATCAACAACTCTCTCACCCTCAATCATCATCTCCTCCTTCCTTCCATCAATACTATCTCGAAGACAGCTTTAATAACTGTTCTTCATCCATCAGTCTTATCTTCTTTAAATAATCAATCAATCCTCACATAGAATCTTTGTTTTCTCTTTCATTGAAAGTCGCAGGTAGACCATCAGCTTCTTATCTCATCTATTCATAATGCGTGGGCTCGTCAGCTTGTCGCTTTTGCCGCTGTTGGCTTCCTCAGCGCCAACATTCAGCACTGAAACCATTCACGAAGGTGTTGCTCCTCTCCTTTCATCATCAAACTCTGTAGCAGTCCCAGACTCCTACATTGTTGTATTCAAGAAGCACGTCACCGAGGCCTCTGCCACTGAGCATCACAGCTGGGTTCAAGACATCCACTCAAACGGTGAAGCTCAACGAACCGAGCTCCGAAAGAGAGGACAATTCCCTATTACCACCGATATCTTCGAGGGTCTGAAGCACACATATAACATTGCCGGTGACTTCCTGGGTTACTCAGGTCACTTTGATGACTCTGTCATTGAAGAAGTCCGAAGACATCCTGATGTAAGTACAAACTCTTCTTTCTTTTCCGCCGCGATGGCGTGTTTCCTATCTTCAATTCGGTTCCAACCGGATGGAAGCCATCCTTATCTACATGTTTGCCCCTTATCTTGATGCTACGGCTTACGGGCCCATTGTTGTTGACTCAACCTTCTTGGTACACACGTAAGCGGCAAGGTCGCACGTGATGGCTCATCATTCTCAATCCTTGGTATATTCAATTTACGCAACAGTTGTGCTAACCAATTCTCTTGCAGGTCGAATACGTTGAGAAAGATTCCATCGTACACACATTAGGGGATAGCGAGGGTGAGATCGAGAAGAATGCCCCTTGGGGTTTGGCTCGTATCTCCCACAGAGATAGCTTGAGCTTCGGCACATTCAACAAATACTTGTATGCCGCTGATGCGGGTGAGGGAGTCGATGCCTACGTCATTGACACCGGAACCAACACTGAACACGTTGATTTCGAAGGTCGTGCACACTGGGGTAAGACTATCCCAGCTGGCGATGCTGATGAGGATGGAAATGGACACGGAACTCATTGCTCCGGTACCGTCGCTGGTAAGAAATATGGTGTTGCCAAGAAGGCCAACGTCTACGCCGTCAAGGTACTCAGATCCAATGGTTCTGGTACCATGGCAGATGTTGTAAAGGGTGTTGAGTGGGCTGCCAACTCCCACACTAAGAAGGTTAAGGAGGGCAAGAAAGGCTTCAAGGGTTCTGTTGCCAACATGTCCCTTGGTGGTGGCAAGTCTCCTGCTCTTGATCGTGCTGTTAACGGTGCCGTCGCTGCTGGTATTCACTTCGCAGTCGCCGCTGGTAACGACAACGCCGATTCTTGCAACTACTCCCCTGCTGCTGCCGAGAACGCCATCACTGTCGGTGCTTCCGCTGTCGATGATTCCCGTGCCTACTTCTCCAACTACGGTACTTGCAACGACATCTTTGCTCCTGGTTTGAGCATTCTCTCAACCTGGATTGGTAGCAAATATGCCGTCAACACCATCTCTGGTACTTCCATGGCCTCTCCCCACATCTGTGGTCTCTTGGCCTACTACCTTTCTCTTCAACCATCCAGTGACTCTGCTTACGCCGTTGCTGAGATTACCCCCAAGAAGATGAAGGAGAACCTTCTCTCTGTTGCAACTGAGGGTGCTCTCTCTGATGTTCCATCCAACACCAAGAACATCCTTGCATGGAACGGTGGTGGATCTTCCAACTACACCTCTATCATCAAGGCTGGTGGATACGCTGCCAAGGCATCCAAGAAAGTTCCAACAACTGTTGAGTTGTTGGAGAAGGCCATCGAGAATGACTTCAACATGCTCTCTGGTAAGGTTGTTAAGGGGGGCGAGTCTATCGTCTCCAAGACCGAGGAGCTCTCTAAGAAGATTCAAAAGATCGTTGATGAGGAGATCAGCGAGTTTTTCGAGGAGTTCAGCTCTTAGATTTAAATACGGCTTGATGCCACATTTTGGCATAGATCTTGGAGGACATGCTCCTCCACTATTTCCTTTCACTTTGTTATGATGGTCATGGAATTGGGCCGGATGGATGTCTCCATATGCATCTTTTGATTACAGGGTTTTTCATTGCGTCTGCGTCTAGGAACATTAGGGGGTCTCGCGTCGTAAGACTTAATAGACCAGTATTTATATTAAATTGTAACAACTCATTATTTCTAATAACAAGCATGCTCTTCATGACACTATCGATGTGGTGACTTCCGAAATGTGTTTCTTGAGACTGGCTGAAAGCAGTCGCCAGCGACTATTCTCTCCATGGCTCTTTCCTCGACCAGCGTTGATGGTAAGAGCTCTTGCCTTTCCTTGTATGGTCCAGTCACCTTATCATTCTTCAAATATCGTGCCTCGTCTTCTATGGAAATTCGTTCATTCACAATTTTTGGTTCAGTCAACTTTTGGTTAATACATGCATGCATGTAATAGCTGTATCACACATTTAATTTCGATTCATTCAAGTTTACCTCATTTTGTAAGCATTGCATAAGGGATATGCTTCGGCGAAACAGTTCTAGTCGACCTAGTCGAAGCAAATCAACATCATCAGTCTACCCAAAACACGATCCTGTCGACCCTGAAGAGTCTCGTATGCATGCTCATGCCGCAGCAATGTATGCTTTCAACCGAGCCCAAGAAAGGAACAGCACTACTTATGGAAACATGAATGGGCTTTCACGAAACCACAGCACAGGCCAAGGAAACCAATCTCGTTCGAGTCAACAGATTAGTTGTGCAAATCTCGATAACACAGGGCTTAGACGGCAGCAAAGTGTTAGGTTTGCAGGGCCCAATGCAGTCAAAAGGCGTCAGTCGACAGGAAAAAGAACGGAGCCTCCAGCATTAATCCACAAGCCAAGTACTGCCACTTTAAGGCCTATTGCGATGACCACGAATGCACCGGTCCCAGCCGTATATCGTCCACCAAGCCGTTCTTCTTCAATTGGCAAGGCTTCTATTGGCAAGGCACCTATTCAGGATTATGCCGCTCATAATTACGTTACAAACTTAGCTTTCGATGAATATTATACACAAGAGGATGATGTAGCCTCGACACCATCTTCTTATCGGCGGATCAGAAAGTCAAAGTCCATGTTTAGCCCCTTGTCGGCGCCATCCAATGTCTTCTACAGTAATGGTAGCCCAGACCGCACTAATTTTTCGTCCACTCCGCATACTCAGGAAAATGATGCTCCCTTGCGAGCTCCCAAATCAATGAGCTTTCTCCGAGGCGGACGAGACTACTTCAAGTCTTCCACATCATCTGAAAGAAACGATGATGCCGTTCAAATGGCCAGAGACAGGTTTTTTGCTCAAGCCACCCAGCAAAGACTTCGGGAGCAGCCGTCTTTCCTTTTCAGATCAAAAGCACAACGACAAGCAAAGCCTTTTCGAAAGTCTGTTCGAAGCAGCAGCGGGAAGTCTGCAGCTACATTTGCTTCGGCTGAATCTATAAAGGAAGGCGGACTTAGGGCGAAAGCTCGTAAAGTATCCCAGGGATTGAAGAGTAGATTGCGGAAAGTCTTTGGACGTAACAAGGAAGAGCCTGTCGTTATCCCCAACCAGCAGGTTGAGGCTATTGAGACTCATGTCCGAGAGTATGCTGGACAATTATCACCAGACCATGAGTCATTCCTCGATATTCCTAGACCCGATGAGGCCGCATTCGCTCATGTAGCGGCTCGGGTCCCATCATTACGTGCTATTGCTTCAAGTCAGAGACTCAGGTCGCAAAGTGGTAGTATTCGCAGCTTTCGAAGTGACAATAGTGACGAAAAGTCCAGAGTAACAAGCTGGACGAATAGTACGGCAAACAACACGGTCACGAGTCAAGGGTTACGTCCCCCGCCTAGCAGAGATCAAAGACTTTCTATTATCAATGAATCAGGTACACATATTTCTAAAGGGGCCTTTCATCGCCCAAATGTAAAGAATCAACATCCCGCTTATCCTGCATTTCATCGCCCCGGTTATGCTCAGCCAATTAGACCAGGAGGCGTGGACAGCGCCAGACTTTGCTCTGCTTTAATGAAGCGTCTCGACGAGAACAGTCCAGAAGCAATACTCGCAAAGTCAAAGAAAGCTAGTACCGAAACTCTCAGAGCAGAGAAAGTCCCTAGACATAGTAGCTCCTTTACCAATCCTCTCCCCCAGTCTAAGCCATGGATCCGACAAGTACCTCCGGACTGTGATCCGAGCAATCAATGTCAAAATCAATATCCTCAAGTATACCATTCAAATAATGTTGCTTTCACTGATAGGACTGAAGATATTTCTGATCAGGTAGTTGGCGGCGCGCATCAATTCAATTCTGCAGATTTACCGTTGTATGACAAGCAACTTGAAACCCAAGACGACGTGTTTTCTTCACACCCAGAATCAAACCATGGCAGCTCCTATGACCAGCGACGTTATGTACATAGCTCAGAGTCTGCACGGGGACGTGCCTTGGCCAATATAGATGCCCTATATTCCCCAGTGCAAGACCCATCAGGTCTCACTCCCCAGCAAGTTGCCCAACGGGACGATCCTATAGTGCCAAGCACAAAGGTCATCCGCGAGGCAAGGTCTACATTCTTCGGAGGCTCAACCTTTAAGATAGTTAGAGTCGGAAATACAAGTCCATATCGTCGAGCGCTGGCGGGAAGTGACAATTCTGCCATTGCCAGCGATGACTCCATGGCTAGAAGGGGGTCGCCGGTGCGAAGCATACTCCACACAACAGCTCATGGTTTAGCCAAAGTGAGAACAGCGTCGGTAGATGATGATGCCTACAGTGAGAGTGTTTACTCCCGAAGTGTTGGCCGTAATCTTTCCGAGGCTATGGGTAGTGATTCCTCCGTTCCACTCTCAAATGTACGGATGCCGTTACTACCTGTCGAGAGCCCAAGTGCTGGTGGTGCCGTCATTATCAATAGCACCACCTATCGTCCAACTCATCACAGGCAACGAGGTGATAATTCAGGAGGCTCGGTCGAGTGGAAAAAATGGATGTCATCCGAAGTCGCGAGATTGGAAAGACCAGAAGGCAAGAATCGAGTCAGCGTTAGCAACATTGAACGTTCATTATCACCCACTCCAACGATGCCAAGTTCATATCACATTGCGCATAGGAGAGAATACGCTCAAATGGCTGATGATGACACGGATATTGCGCAGAAAAAGATCGCTGTTGGCAAACAACCGCTTGGTCTAGTTCAACAAAATCTTCTTTCGGGTAATGGCCAAGTTCTTTTAAAGCCGATATTGAAAAATCGTTCCACAACATCTTTGGCTGAAAATACACATGTCGGCAACAATAAATCATTCGATATTCCTCTTGCACCACCATTACCACCTCCTATTCCCCTTAGATCTACATTAAGACCAACCCAAAGCAAGGCAAGTCTAAAAAGTACCTCGGCTTCTCAATACTCACCAACTCCACCGGGTTCCGTCACTCAGACTCGGAATCCTAGCGTAAATGGTCGCAACGTCTTGCAAAAGCGCCTCTCATCTGCAACTTTGAGTAGCACACCAATAGCACCTAATCATGGTGTCGAAAACCAAAGCGCTAGTAATCGCAATGTACTTCATAAACGAAACGTATCGAATGCGACATTGAGAAGTTCTAAGAGTATAAGAAGTGTTAAGAGTTTCGATACGAGTGCGAGTGCCACTAGTCCAGCGAAATTGGTCAAGAGAACAGGGAGACCGGTGTATAATTATACACCGCAAAGCAGTCCGGGTACAGGGATAGGAGCAGCGGTGGAGAGACAATTTGGAAGTACTGGTCTGGGGAGTGCAAATGGAACTGGATCTGGAACTGGGAGGAGGAGAGAAAGAGCGGGAGGAAGAGAAAATGAGAGGGTAGGAGGACTAGATGATGGTTATGGGGTTGAGTGTTGTGGTGTAGGTCTGAATGCTGGATCAGGCGTGGATCAACATCAATTGCAGTTGGGCAGTAAACAGATGGTGGATTTGTTTTTGAGTAGTAGACGTAGGAGAATTGCTAGTGTGGGGACTTTAGCAGGGGGGAGTATGTGCGAGGATGGGATTGGGAGTGCGAGGAATGTTAGTGGGATGGAGGAAAGTGGTGGAATGTTTCTTTAGAGGTTGATGGCTTAGGGAATTCATAGTGGCATGACTTGTTATTTGGGTTACTCGGATAAGGATTAGGTATATATTTTTGGTTGGTGTACTGAGTACTCGAATATATGGATACTTGGCTTGGACGGTCATTGATGGGACTCGTGGGATTGAAGAGGAAGGCGCTTGCTTACTTTTACTGACTAGAGTTAGAAAAGTATTGTATAATACCTAAGTAGTTACTGTATGACTTTTGTTTTTGTTATAGAGTATTTATATTTTAGTAATAGAGTAGTAGATTGGTAGTATAGATAGTATAGATATCCATTAGATTAATAGGTACTAGTAATTAATTAGTGTATAATTAGAATGAATAGAATAGAATTGAATAGAATACTTGTTTTATGATAGAGATAGTGATGGGTTGGACAACGAAAGTAGATATTTCTGATTGTAAGATTCTTTCCTTCGTCTTTTTTTGTTGTTGGGGTGTAGGTGATGAGTTTGTGGTATGGAGGGGATGTGAGATAGGATGGGATGAGATGACGATGATGAGATGAGGTAAGTAAAGTATAAGGAACTGCGGTGATGGGGCATGGAGAAGGATGCATTAGGTGATATAAAGAATGGTAGCTAGGTATATACATGCATATATATAATGACTTCTATCTATCTATAATTGAATGAAAGAGCAGAGTTTAGAAATATAGGAATGGAGGAATGAAGGAGTGTAAGAAAGATCTAGAGGGAATTGTTCGAGATGGGGAAATATTATTTGTTATTGCACCTTGATCTAAGACGGAATATAGATCTGAGATGGAACCGGACCTAGATTTAGAGTTAATATCAATGTTTGATATTCAATATGTCTAGTTTTGGGGTAAAGGAAGGGTAAAGGGAGTTTAGGTTTAAATTTGAATTTATGTGGACATTTGGATTGTTGGCTTGCTTGCATTGGCTTTAGGGAATTTGAATTTCGAAGTTTAGACTTTAGACTTTGAACTTTGGAGGTGGTTTTGTATTAATTTTTCCTAGGTTATGGTTATACTTCTAGTTTTAGTTATAGAGGTTTAGGCTTTGATTTGTTTTGGGGATTTTGTTTGTATGTATATGTATATGTATTGACTGTGGGTGTATTGGGTTTTATATTTGGTTTCTATATGAGGATGGATGGTTTAATTTTGGTGTAATTATCTAGATCCGAGACAAAGTGACAGAAATTTGTATATAAATCATCGATTCAAAGTTTGCAATGTTCAATGTTTGAAGGTTGTCCAAATCAGGAAATCAGTGAAATTTTTAGATAATGTTGTGTATAGGATGATCAATACTCAATCGTTTTATGCTTGAACTAAACTCTAATAGGAGATATAATCTACATTTTGGGAAAGCTCCTCACGCACTTGGTGCTAAAGCGGATTACTCAGTCAAACTAGTACTGGAAGTTGCTGGTGGTTATATAATAGCGGCTGCGGAGGTCTTATATCAATACTTTTTTGAATATGTTTGGGTGAGGATACTGACTAGTCATAGTTCACTTGTGATACAGACACTTGTGCCGTGCCATAATTAATATGCCTGGACGAAAAAATATCCAACGCCCTAGCTTCCAGGATTTCAAGTTGTAAATTCTTCTTGTCTGAAGCAATAGAATATCTTGATGAAAGGTCCAAGGTGGATCTAGTATATCCAACTACGTAGGTATTTACGCAACATAAATGCGGGGATTTTAATGCAGTGAAGCAGTGGGTTGCTGACCATTAGTTATTCACTATCGAAAGTCATGGTATCGAACGATTTGCATGATTTAAGGAATGGAACGTTACCATAAAGCTCTAGCTCATAGAACAGTTTGTATGTTCTATATGGGGTCGAAAAGAGACGCGAGGGCCGATGAAGCGCTCTTTATGCATATGATAGACGAGGAAATATTGTGTTTAATCGTGTATGGTGAATTTTAACTACAGTTACTTCTACTCCTTGTTAAGACTTCCACAAGATTACTCCGTATAAACTATTGCTCTGATTAAATTACTCCTCAGCACCTCGTACCGTTTATGTTTTGACATTAAAATTGAATAGCCCTCACCTAGCCCTCAGTTAAAATTCATATTAATTTAATACCATATGCATTCCCTCTTCTACCAACTTTCACCACCTGCACAACTTCCTATATCAAAAAAAGCACCACCTATAAAAGTAAGAGCTAAGATAACCATACCACTAAACATTACATACCAAGGACCATTAATCATTGTAGTCCTCTATGATGGTTAACGTTATGGGTCTCGCTAACCTCCTAAGTGGGGGTTAGTGCCACTCCAACCCACAATCTCAATATAGATTCAAGATTCACCTTCATCTTCAACAAATACGGTGAGATGGCCGAGTTGGTCTAAGGCGCCAGGTTAAGGTGACAAACCCTTAACAAACGGTTATTCACAACCTCCTGGTCTAGTAATAGGCGTGGGTTCGAATCCCACTCTCATCAAATTATCTTTTTGGGTATTTTGGAGGCGAGAATTTTGGTTAGCGGGATCTGATTTGTTTCTATTCTTTTGTCTGGTAGTTTGTTCGCTACATACCAGGTTGTGATAAATACTTTCTAGCTTGTGCCAGATAGAAGAATTTTTGATAAAAAGTGTTTTATCTATCATCGCCTCCTACCAGAGCATTTCGAATTCTAATTTTTATTTATAGGACATATATATATGTATATAATACACATATTCTCAGAAACCATTAAATTAAAAAAAACAAAACCATCTATCTATCCACCTATCGACTATTAAAATGGCTAAAAGTTAGATTTCTAACAACGGATTCAAACCGATGAATCTCAGGGTGACTCCCTACGTAGGGCTCGAACCTACAGCCTCAAGATTGATTCAAATGTAGATATACTACTTAGAAGTCTTGCGCGCTACCATTGCGCCAGCAGGGAAATCTTAAGATGTGGTATGATTAGAGGCTCTTAAGACTGTTTATACTCGAGTGAACAAGTGGATCAAGAAAATAAGAAATAGTAAAAAACCAGAATGCTTCAATAAGATTCTGGGTTGTGTTAGGTTGAAGTGAAAATTTTTGATAAAAAAAAAAAGACTAGGTAACCGAGATGAAGGGGTTGAGCCGAGAGAACCCCCATCTTTTTCTTGCCCCACCAAATCCACCATTTTTATTTTGCCCTTTTTGATTTTCCACTTTCGAATTTGTGAGTAGAAAATATATATCCAAAAAAGGGCCACTCAACACAACAATAGGCCGGATGGTGTAGTTGGTTATCACGTGTCCTTAACACCTAAAACATGTTAAATACGGACAAGGTCCTGGGATCGTGCCCCAGTCTGGTCATCTAATGTGTCGAAAGATATATACTTTTGCTTTTTTGTGTGGAAAGTTTTTGTTACTGTTAACTCGGATGCGATAGTCGATCTTCTGCTCTCTTGATACAGTAGAATCTTATTATATCGATATTTTTATGCCGGAAAATCTGTTTATATTGGATGTATTTGGTAAAATCTTATTTTTCTGTAACGATGCTGTACTGGAGGCAGCGGCTGCCTAAGGTTTCGTCTGGTTGGTAGTTGTGGGTTAAGGCTTTATCACTTGTCTTCACTTGGAAGTGAAGTCGTTACTAGATCAAGTAGAATGTAGGTAAACTAATTGATAACTAAGTTGAGCACGAAGCTCCTATACTAAGAAATTATTTTAACTATATACTCGTCGTTTCCTTAAATGCTAGCAGAGCTAGCATGTCACGTGATTTCATATTGGCCTCAGGACACTAATCCTGGGACAATTCGTCTCCTGGGATAATATAACTCCTAGGATAATTGTCCCGGGACAAATATTATCCTAGGATGTTTATCCTAGGACGAATAATGTCTTAGGACACTTGTCCTAAGCCATCACGGTTGCCTAAATGGTTTGTCCTAGGATGATTATTATCCTGGGACACATTTTATCCTAGGACACTTGTCCTAGGATTCCTTATCGATAAGGACCCCCTCGGCAACAGCGGCCCAAACCGCCGTACTTGCTTTTATTGTGTTATAATAATCGTGATTCGTGACATTTTCTTTGTATAAATATATTAGAATTTCTGGTATTTTAGTTTTATTGAATAATTTTATTGAATTCCTGTTTAAAAGTTGTAAAAAGAAGATTTATATATAAATTTGTTTATAATAAATTTATAGTATTATTATTATATATTGTTAAAAGGAATGACTTTACTACTACGAGGTTTGCCGTCTAGATCACGTGGTGTTACGACAGGTAACAATTAGGTCACGGGATTAGTAATAACACGTGACGCAAGGACTCGAAGAGCTCGAAGGCTTGGCCTCTCGAGCCCTTGTGACGGAAATCCCTGCTTTCCTCCCACCCTTATTATATAAGAAACCTCAGGTACATTAACCATGTCCACACATGATACGATTACTCGAGATTAGTATACGATTTAGGTGACCTGAGGATCAGATCCGGACAAGTACTAGGTATCAATGGTTATCGGTAAAGTAAGATCATTGGAGGAATAAATATGACTTCTTTTTGCCTAGCCATTGCGGCTAGGCTATTCATTTGTGTATATATAGAGTAGCTATCCCCATCTACAGGTGCTCTTCACCTGTAGATTCTAAGTTAAATACAATTGCTGGTCTATAAACACCCTTTTGGTCACAATATACAATTTATAACTAATAGTAGAGTATATTAAATAATTGATTTTGAATATGAAGCTCTATATAAAGGAAATCCATCTTAATTATATAGACCTTTATACTTTATAGCTTAAAGGGAACAAAAGGATCAAGCTTCGATCCTTTCGCTCTCCTCGATCGAAGGGCTCGAGAGGCCAAGCCTTCGAGCTCTTCGAGTCCTTGCGTCACGTGTTATTACTAATCCCGTAACCTAATTGTTACCTGTCGTAACAGAAAAGTGGCCGGAATTAAGGGTGGCCGGAAAGTAGGGTACTAGACTTAGCATCCAAGATCTGAAAATAGATTGAGGACCTTTGATATCTTGCGCCTCTGTACCTTCACACAAACGTGATCATTAATCCTCATTCATTTGAAAATCTAGGAATTTTGTTTCTGGTTGATACAAGTATCTTGGCCAAGTGTATCAATAGCGAGCCTCAATTTGGATACATGAGATTATGTCATCGAATAATACCAGAGTAAACAATGTAGTGCCTCAAAAACTAGTGGCTTCTCATCTAGAAGTTTTAAAGTTGTAAAGTCCATCTCATATTCAAGATCAACAATCCCGAGACCCATCCGAAATACTAGAAGAACCGTGAGCGCATGAGAAATGGCATATTCAGCAAACATATAAGACATGGTAGGTAGCCGATAATACTACAAACGCATTTCAAAAGGCTCATGCAGGGGATCTCAGAAATCGCTGTAGGCGGTGGAATATGAAGAATGCATTGGAAGGTAAGTTCAACTTTTTGAACAGTAGTAACTTCTCGCCTGCTATCCCCGTAACTAAACAGTATTCTCCGGCATTCAAGGAGGAATCTAGTCTTTAAATTCTTGCCATCCCTCCGTACGGTCTTTAGAGACTACTTTTCTCAGCCGCAAATCCGTAGCACGGGAAACATATACCGTCAACGAGGAAGGCCTGGCCCGCCGAGACTTGTGTAAGAAATTACCAAGAATTCGGTTGATCTATCAATTCCGAATGTCAAACATTCCGAAAGCCTTGCGAATTCCCGAATACCGTCGACGGGACAGTTCAATGTCGTAGAGTACTCAAACAACAAACAGCCTAATTCAAATCCATCGTTCCTTAAGCCTGAATCTTTCTGCATTGATAGTAGTATGAAATTGCTGTTGGTTCCCGCATCCAGGAAGTGGGGGCAGTTTTTCATTAGCTAATTCTTTGAGAAATTCGAAGTATATCCAGTAGATTTGGATATCTATATCTTCATTCAAGAAAAAGTCAAGCAGACCCCCAAGTATGTGGTCTAGCTTTTCACGCCTTGATCTGAAGAACCCTTATGCAATGCCCTGTTATCCATATAAATCGCTGTCCAACGTACCGTACCTTATGCTAGTCCTTCACGGCATAGCCATTGATCATTTCGATAGTGTTCCACGGCGATGTAAAAATTCGCAAATCTAATAGCCATGAAGAACTGTAAAACCGAAATTCCATGGTCTTGGAATCGAAAAGTCTATGCCTGGGCATCCTGTAACATTGTAGCACTACCTTCCCGGTGTAATGATGCATCAAAAGGCTGAAGGCTTTACGCCATTGACTTGGAGATTTCGATAGTCCCATGATAGGTATTCATGAGAAATGTATCACGAAGAGGGGCTCCCGTCCAACCAGGGTCGTGCAAGTATCCGTGGTGAAAGAGCAGGTTCAGATAATGCACTTTCCCGTTGAAGCAGGACCTCTCATTTGGGAATCTCTCAGCTAGGTAAGGGGTCGAATATATTGCGAAAGATGGTTAGACAAAATGCGGGGCAACAAAGCAAACACTCACTCGGGGTCCTCGCACAGTGAAACGACAAAAACATTGGGTAGGCGGTGTACTGCTGTGGTATGTAGTGATCCCACCAACTTGATGAACCATTCGTGTCGGGAAACGTATCAATTGAGAGTCAATCAATTTTATCATGATTGACAAAAATCTTGGAATTCGGAGTTGAAAAGCATCAAACACACCTGCGGTTGCGACCACAGAATCTCCATACGCAAAAAGGATATGCACGTCAATATTGGGCTATGCTGGACAGGAAACTTGAAGCGAGCGAAATATCTAGAAATATCAAAATTAATAACGGAAGACGCGAAAGTAGATTCCGGATGCGCATACATTTACCAAACTAGTTCAGATGAAAGCAGGTGAAGAGCCTATCGAACCCTAGAGAATATGCCACGATACTGCACGAGCACCTCGTCCAAGGAAGGATCCCATTGGACCCCTAACACAAATTAGGTGTTTAGAGGGACCGTCAGCTTATTTGATTTGATAGTTGATTTCTCATCGTCGATGATAACTTGGTCCTTTTGTTCCTGAAATCTTGAAGGAGCAGGCAAGATATACATATTGAGTCAGGCATGACGTGAACATCGGTCGAGATACATCGGAGAATTTCAACAAGCTGGAAGTTGTCCCTGCGTACCCTGTTGCCCTTGGGGATGTCCAAAGCTCTCCCGCGGTTTTGAATTAAGATTCTGCTCTGAATGCATGTCACTCCTACTGTAACGTATTGCTAGGGTAACCGTATATATGATGAAGATGATTGGTGGAACTCTGTTGAATGTACAGTGCTTCGTACGAGTACACAAAGTATATGTACCGGAATACCTTTACGGAGTACATGTGGAAGCGCGGCAGTCCAAGTACCGTCCGCAACCTGCAATTGCGCAAGGGAGAGAGGATAGTAATAAGGTAATGAATGAATGGTAAGCACCTGAATAAGCTAATTAAGGTTGATCCGGCTCGCTCCGTTATATCGATTAGGGGATCACCAGTGGATTTATTGTTAAAGTTACATAAAGTTGAGCTAATTAGGGTCGTGATGGTTGGTTTATAGGAATCACAACAGCCTTTTTCACTCCTCCTGCTTCCAGGTTGTTGACTTATAATACTCCGTAGGTTAATAAGCTGCCAATCAGTCCAATCAATCCCATCAATGTACCATGCATGCATGAGTGAGTGGCTTGTACGGAGTTGTTGTAAGGTTTGGCTTAAGCTTTGATTGGGGAACGTGCATGAAAACTTTTAAAAAATCAGCCCATTATATGAAATTCTCGTCAGTTATGGCATTTAAAAACTGCATCCTAACACATTTTGAGGTCGAAAATGTTTCTAAATCCGATTAATATTCATTGTTCAATAACTCTTACTTGCCTCGGAGAGAAGCCGAAGGCATGCGCATTGCCCCTCATACCTACTACCCAGGTATACAAACCTTCTATTCAACCTATCAAAGACTCGCTCTCCTACACAAAACCTATACAGTATACACAGATGATCAGACCCGGTTTCATTATGGAATCTCGATGACCTTCGGGGAGCTTTGCGGACTGGGAGACATTATACGGGATTGGGGTCCGGCAAGTACTGTGTTGTAGGCGTGCGTCTAATTCCGAAATATCCAAGCAAACCAACCATGAATTTCCCAATTTGATGATTGATCACTCTTGTGCTTGCTTAGGAGCTTGGGAAGCTTGATATTGATGCATGAATGCAGAGTTTCTGTCGAATCATGTCGATGCTGTATGAACTTGGATGCATTTCTGTCTGCTACTCCTTTGGTACTACATACTATACTATATGCTCAATACCAGGCTTAATATTCTATTATTTCTCATCTATTCCATAAAGTCGATTTTCCTTATTTCCATCTATTGCCCTGCCAATATATCTAGTTCCAGCAGTGCCCAGTTGTTTCTCTGTTGCATCTCAGATTATTATTCTTACATTTTTTATTTTTTTTACCCCTTCAAACCTTGCCGGAGTCCCCCGCCTAGGTTCAGTGAACAAAATTAAGGTCTGGAATTGGCTTCAATCCCCACAATTCATTCTAACATCACATCATACAAATCGTGATACTCGTATGATAACGAAGATGAACCGGTACTGAGGCTTGAAAGTCTGGAAACGTCTTCTTACCACATGGTCATTCCGGGAAATTGATTCTTCCCGAATTTTATATTGAGTCTGGGAGGCATCACCCCCTCTATGAATTTATTTAAAGGACCATACCCCAAAATACAACAAACATTTCAAGCCACAGCAAGATAGATCATAAATATATCAATCATCAAAAGTCGAAGACTTTACTCGAATTCAAGTTACATCATCCATATTATCAAACACCTTATTCACCATCACTTTCTTTGTCGGGCTTTGTATCAACAGCAACCTCGGCATCCCTCATCAACACAGCATCCATATATTCTTTCAGAGCCCCAATTCAACTATAACATCTTCAAGGAGTAAGCTTTGACTTACCCCAAAATCAAACCGATATCATCAATCTCCCCAATGGCAAGTGTGGTTTGCCAGAAGCCTGCCGTTGATTATTTCACATTGTCGCGGCAGCAAACTGAAGTAAGTATATTACTATTTTCTTAATACTCTACATGAAACCAATGGAAGCCACGTCTTGAGCATCTTCTTGTTGTCCGAGTTATTCCGGATATGTATATGTGGATAAACTCCACCTCTCGCAAAGGGCTTCCACTGGTCTAAGTCCTCTTCTATTTTCCTAAAACCACCCCACTGTACCGTTGACTGACAGCTAGCTCTTATAGCAGAGTACTTCCCCATTCAACTGGGATAGTGAGCCTGCACTCGTCCATAACTCAGACTCCTGTGACTCTATTCTCCCATCACCAACTTCATCCAACCCAATCTTCTCCAGACCTTCTTACATTCTCCCAAAAGAAGAACCATTTCAAAGCTCCAACCGCAAATCATCTACAGGTCAAGCATTTGACTTTGGTACCTTTGAAGATTGGATGCGCTGGGACGATCCAAGTGACGCAACTCTATCACCCACCTCGGATCTCTTCCCAGAACTCAAGAGTGAGCCCCTCTCGCCTAATATGAGCGGTCTCGAACTCTCTCGAAATCTTTCCACTATCGACGAAGCAGCAGTATTTGGAGACGACAACATGGGCGAAGCTGGAGAACAACTATTTCAACCCACACCCAATAATCTAATGAGCTCACCCATCATCGACATCCCATCCCGAGAAGGCTTATACTCCACCCCTCTTTCCTGGGCACGACCTCAAATGAACTCGAATATCAACTCTAACATTCGCCGCGCACAACCCATTCCTCAGCCTCAACCACAACCCATAATTTACCACCGCACTCTTACTCCCCAAGAAGAGATCCAACTTCGCGCTATAGCCATGCCCCAGCAAGCTCAAAACTCCGCTGCATACCCCACCTCTCCAACTTCATCCAGAAGCTCACCAGCACATTCTCCCATCTCCAGACCCGCACGCCAGTCAATGTCAAATCCAAACCACCACTCAAACAACCTGAAACGTAAATCATCAGCTTGTTCATCAGACTCGAATACTGACGGTGAAGATGAGATGCCCGTCCGCCATCCACCAATTAAGAAGACCGCTCATAACATGATCGAAAAACGATACCGAACAAATTTGAATGACAAGATTGCTTTACTGAGAGATAGCGTACCCAGTTTGAGAGTAATGTCAAGAAAATGTTCGAGGGGACAAGAAGATGGGGATGACCATATTGGAGATGACGAGGAGGAAGATTTGCAAGGTTTAACACCAGCACACAAATTAAATAAGGTATATTTCTCCGACCTTTTAATTTAGACAAAATATGAGACTAATGAATTACAACAGGCAACTGTATTATCCAAAGCAACAGAATACATCAACCACCTCGAAAAACGCAACAAATATCTCCAAAGAGAAAACGAAAGTCTCAAATCCCGCGTCGAAGCTTTCGAAATGTTAATGATGTCCAACCAAACACAAAACGGCGTACCACAACAAACAAACGGCATGCAAAGAGGAAGATATGGATCGTGAATGCTAGTGAGGGGCTCGGCGCGTACGAGATAATCACTACTACGAGTTCTACAAGCGCAAGCGAGAGGAGGTAATGGAAATAATGTGACGGAAGTAAGAACTGTAAAAGAACATAGGGTGTTTGGAGCGGTCCTGTCATGGAAAAAAATTCATTGTGATGTGTATGGTATTTTAATAGGCGTTTTTGTGGGGAAAAAACTGATGGATGGATTGGAAAATGAATGGATGGATGGATTGGATGGATTGGATATAAGCGGATTAGCAAGCAAAAGGATACCCGGAATTTTCTACAAAATTTTTCAGAAAGTTCAGTAGTGTGTTCACTGGAAGTCCTGAGGAGGAAAAGTCAGAGTTAATCTAAAATAGATTCTCAGCATATATTTCTCCCTGGTTTAGAGTTTTGTGATTTGCTCGTCGCTCGGGGTGATGTGCACTTGTGTCTTCGGTATCTACCTAGTACTGAGTATGCTAAATGATGATATAGGTATAGAAGTAGATGTCTACTAGTCTGATATCACTTCTCTCTCGTGACTTAGCTCGATGCGACTTCCAGACTCACAAGTCGAGA